TGGTCTCGGGAGCTGTTGCGTGGCAACCGCAACAGCTCGGATTGCACATCCATGTATGGTAAGGTCCCGAATGCCAGGGATGGCCCTTCGGATGGTCAGCCGCCGGGCATCAGCCCCGAGGGACTGCGCCACATCCTGACGCAGCTGCGCCCTACGGGTTTCATCTAAACCAAAACAGATCCTACGCGTGTCCCCTAGCAACCAAATGGCGGGAACCCATTGGCTCGCGGGACTGGCAAAATCGTCCCAATTGGCGCGATTTGTCAAGAATTGTTCGAAGGTGCACGATGTAGCAGGCGGGGAGTGGCGAAGCCGAAGATACACGACAGTACCCGAGGTAACTGCGGCTGTATGTCCGCGCTGCAGTGGCTCTACATTATCCCCAACATATACATCAGTAGCCTCATGGTCTGGCCGTCCTGCAAGCTCAAAGATGTCTTCAGGATGGAAGTGCAGTCTGGAATCAGGGTCTCTTGCCCGCTGCAGCTTGGCAAGGATGTCAGCACGTCCGGTGGGCTCTTGGAGAGCGAAGCTGATCACATCCGGCCCGAAGTCGGGAGTATAAATGAAGAACCGAGCTCTAGGAGGTTCTAGGTCTTCATCCGGCTCATCTGTCTCCGTATCCTGTAGGTCTAGAATGCCTGGAGCAACTGGTGGCCACCTCCCTGGAAAGCCTCCAATGGCGCGGGGGGGGGTATGACCACCTCCCTCATTTCCGTTGCGACACAAGGTTGTGTCAATGCCAATGGGCCTGTAATAGCTTCCCTGGGCATATGCAATGGCGAGCGAGTACGCATCACAGCCAGCCTGATTGTAGCAGAGCTCGGCACTTCGACACAGGCCCTTGGACCAAAACAACTGGTAGGCCCCAGGGGGGCCTAGCTGCGTGTACGGGCAGTCTAGGGCAGAGAAGGGTCTAGGTGACCTACTTCTGGAAAAGGTTCTGCCCTGTTGTGAGCCACCCGTGGCTTGTGCAGCTCTTGCCGCAGGGTGCACTGTCGTAGTGTCTGATGAATGCGTGGCTGTATCTTTACGTGTGTCCGAGGGACTGGAATCATCATCCCCGGAGCTGCCATCAGCATCATCATCATCATTACTATCGTCCTCCTCCTCGGCCTCATCACTATGGAAGGCACGAAAAACACCAGTGGTGCTGCCCTCAACCCATATGTCATCATAAATTAGTGTGGCACCGTCAACCTCCAGGACATAATTTGTCGGCAGCTCGACCCCTGCGACGGACAGCATGCTTGGTACGTGCAAATTGAGCGTATGCACATGGAAGGCATGCGGCTTACACCCTAGAGGACGAAAATCCGCAACAACGAAGACATCCCTGCGAAGGGCTCGGCTCCCCTGGGTTGGAGCAGTCTCAGGTGCTTTGACTACGATGATGAGACCTATACAGGCGCTGCCTTGCACATCGAGGTCTGAGAATGACTGGTTAAGATGCACGGTGACATCCTGCTCCTCATATCGCAACAGTCTACACGCTGCTTCTTTGACTGAGCAGCGCGGGAAGTGCCATTCCTGCATCACATAGCGCTCGTTATCCAGCACAACACAGTATCCTGGCGTAGTGCTATTGAGAGGCAAATGGCATGTGGGTCCCCATGCTGCTGCGGGTTGGAAAAGGTCCTCATAGAGATGTCTGGTAGGGTGACTGCGGCCAATCGGGAAGGCAGAGATCACATCCCCTGCCGAGAGCCTGGCCCCCTGGATGCCGTCCCATGGGGTAATCGCAGTCACGACATAGATGTGGAAATCGTACACATCAATGCGCGTATGTGGCATGATGTATTCCCGCATAGCCTCAATGCCTATGCCTTGTGGTAAGGCCGCTGCAAAGTAAGGGCCACCCAACATCGATACATCAAGGATGACCGGGACTAACTCGGATCTACCCGTAAATGGCAGAATCTTTGGGTATGCTAAAAGCATGGCATAACCAGGGTGACGCTGGGGGTTAATGGGGACTACAGAGTCGCAAGCACCTTCATAGAGTGCCCGATGCAAGTCTAAAACCTGAACCAAGACATCATCAGGTGTCTGTGTCCTGTCGGCACGCACTGCCCACGCCGTGGTGTGGTAGTGGGGTGCATAGACAAGGACCCCCAGCCAGTCTTCACCAAATGCATCCTGTTCGTCGCGTGGATTGTGGTATATGCGGCGAATCTCCGTATTGGGAAGGGGCACTGCATTGTGTCCTTCTGCACTGTACCTATCTGGCCACCTTGCAAAGGAGATTCCATGTGGCGTTTGCCGAAGATTAGGGACTGGCAAAAGGTCGGTATTGTGCGGCCCACAGTCATATGGCACGGCGGTGACTCCGGGGAGCGAGCCTCCTAGTGCGACACATCCTGGTAGCAGCCATGGACGTATATGGGACGCTTGGATCTGGTCCGGAAGGTTGAGTCCTAGCATTAGGGTCAACCAGAGCTTGCTAAACAGAGGGTAGGGCTTACGGCCAGTGGTGTCAGCAACTCTTTGGCGCCCCTTGCCTCTGCGAGAACTTCTCCCAGGCAAGCTCCAATCAAGTGTCCGTGCGGCAAGGCTTGTATATCCCAGGCATCTCACACGGTTGCCTGGAACACATTGTATCGGTACCTGCGTGGCCTGACCAAGCCTGGTGCGGTGCACTCCAAGGGCTTTGAAGAGCATTCCCCAAAGTATGCCGTGCAGGACCCACAGAGGAAACAACAGAAAAGCCCGTGCTTGGCCCTGAACCCATATCAGCAGGTCATCGGCATCCGACGTGGTCGCACTGTTTAGGAGTTGCATCCCACAGATGATCAACAGACAAATGTAGCAGATCTTAGTCTGCTGCACTTCGCATCTCTGCCCTAGTTCAAGGGTCCATCTGCTGCAATGACGGCTCGTGTATCTGATCGAGCGTACTGCTGTACGTATATCCCAAAACTGAAACCGAGGAACCCATGCCAACAAGAACAGGCATCCAGAGGCAATTAGAGATCCCCCGAAAAGCCAAGTGAACGAGAGAAACCCAGAATCCCAGCTCGTACGGTGTCCTCTACATCCCTGGTGGTTGGGCGGATGTCCCTGCGCCACCGATACATCTCTTAGGCGCCTCAACAAATCAGGGAGAAGTGGTCTCTCATCACAGCAAGTTCGAACCGGGCCTCTCTGTATCCCAAAATTTTGTGCATCAATGGTACGATGGAGTGCGGCCTCTTTAAATGGCGCAATCTCATGAAAGTACCACAGCAATCTGCATGCTGACAGGTCCCGATGCCCAATTGACCTAGTGCGTAGTGAGCAGTCGGCTTCAGCAGCGCATGGCCCAAATCCAAGGCACACATGATCCAGGTCAAAACTTGTGTGTCCAACAACGATCTCGCATTGTGGGGCCTCGGCATGTACATTCAAAACTTCACTACGGATATAACGCAGTGAAACCGGATGACCTCCGACACGATGTCCGACAAGTGTCAACCCGCCTTCCGGTCTGTGGCAACGTCCCCACGTACCCAAGTGGGTGTCGTTGTCACTGCCATCTGGGAGGGGAAACCCGTCAGAAACAGTGTCGAGGTCATCCGCTGTATCAAATGCCAAGCTCAGTCCTGCTGGTTCATGTCCGGCGGCCTGCCCAGGTGCCCAGCCAACTCCTCGTCGGTGTCCAGTTGCTCTGGCTCGGTCGTGGCTTCGCGAGCCCCCATAGCACTCTCCGGGGGAGAGTTTTTCTGATCCAGGTCCATGGCAAGCCCGAAAGGTGCCAGGGCACACCTCCTGCGTGCATCCAGCTTGTTGCCCAAAGAGTCTGTTGGTGCAGAAACGGTATGGACTGGCTGAATGGGTGCCCCCTTGATCGGCTGCCTGTGGCCTCCTGCTGTCGTTTTGGCCTTCGGATTGGGGCTCGTCTTGGTTCCCGGATAGCCCCATATGTCTTCCAGTCGACGATTGGAAGGAGAAGCCTTGTAAGGCTCTGCCGGGCCAGGTGAGCTGACCGAAGCGGGCCCCGGTCTCGCAGGCGCCTCTGTCAACCCCGGTGGGCCTGGAGGCTGACTCCCGGCCGGCATGCTCAGGCCGGACAAAGGCAGGGCCGCCAGGGTCGCCTGTAGAAGCCGGAGTGCATCCTCTGGCTGCATCATGGCTCCGGCTGGACGGCCCGTAGGTGCCGCCCCGCCTGTCATGCCCGTATCGGCCCTTTGGGCTGCCACCATCGCATCCCGCAAGAAGCCAGGCTCCGCAGGTATGTCTGTGCCTGAGATCAAAGCCTCGAAGGAGCCCTCCGCTTCCATTGCGGCCGGTTTCGCAGACAGACCCTGCGTAACAAGTGCCTGCACCAAGTTGGATGCCTCGTTCCCCGCCTTGGTCGTCGCGCAGATTTCTTCCTCGATCTTCTGCATATCGGCCGTATACTTGGCCTCCTGACGTAGGAACTCTGCCTTGGTCTGCTGTTGCCACAGTTGCCACTGTTGCTCCTTCTTGCCACGATCGTCTCGGAGCTTCCTCACTCTGGCATCCGCCTTTCTCGCACTCGAAAGCGCTTTCTGTACCTCGCGTCTGAGGGCAGTGCCGCTGTCTTGCTCTTCCGGAGCGCTCGTCGGCCGTTGCTGGCCAGATGAGCTCGGGATGGGGAGCTGGTCGTAGGATCTCTTCTCTGTCTTGTCCGCTCTGGCCTTTGGCGAGGCATGCCAAGTGCCCTGCCAGTATCGCCATGGTGCAGAATCTGAGTGCCATTTGTCCCACTTCTTGCCACCCATATCGACGTGAGCTCCTGCGATTTCTCGGTATTGCGGCTTCGAGTGGTGAGCCGCCAACAGGCGAAGGTCCCGAGATGGCGGTCGTATCCCTGAAGTGCGGGACTTCCGGATTCGATGTCGTGCCTTCTGTCGTGCCTTTCTGGCACGGCGATGCCAGGTAGGAGAAGACAGAATTGTCTCTCCACCGTCAAAGGCACTGGGGCGATGGCAATGCCTACAAACTCCTGTAGGCTCGATCCAAAACCCTACACATACACAGACATATTAATAACCTGCCTACCAGGAGGATGGCCACGCTCCGGGTTTCCGCGCTCCAGCGATTGACACCTGCAAGGGGGAGCGTCATGGTCGCAGGCTTCCGGTACGTTTATGCCACCCGACTTTTTTCAACCTTGGGTGGCCCATGGATGGATCCGTGAGTGAGCCTGTGTAATTATATACATTCTCAGGACGCTCTCACTGATTTACTTCCACCGCTTTGTTGTGGGATGTTGCGGGGGTGAAGGCCATGCAGCAATGACACGGTCAACTGCGCCTGAGCCTACAATGCGCCACATCCCGTTAGCCTAGAGTGGTCAGGTAACACAGCCAGGTACGAAATAGTGTCCTTGGTCAGTGCCGGCACGCCTGTCAACAATCGCACATCCACCACAAAAAGGATGTGATCCTCGGAACGAGGTCGAGAAGCCAAGCTTTAGCTTTGATTTTATCCGAACTGAGTTTGGCAACTTGCTGTCCACCTGTCCTGTTGCGAGGCTTCGAGAACTGAACAGAAACAGCAAGCATGATGTCTCATACATGCATGAAGAGCCGGAAAGGCTGGAAAGAGAGAGACAGAGAGAGAGGACAGACAGAGAGCGGGAGCGGGTGAGGGAGAGGGAGAGGGGACACAGACCAGGTCAATCCAAGAACCATCTCAGCGTGATCCAAAATTGACGCCGGATGGTCGCAGAATCCCTGAAGACTAAAGACCCACCGCCAAGGCTCACTTATCTGACGGCTAGGCCAAGGTAGCAGGGGAGGGGCCGCCGCCAGACCGAGATCCTTCCACCCTGTAAGCCTGGGATGGGCTGAGGGAAGCCATGCCCCTCGGTGAAACGGAACTGTTGGAAAAAAGCTTACACAAGGGTTTCGATTGTCTTGAGCGGTTGGTAGGGAGGGACAGAGGGAGGTAGCACAAGCAAATGTGCAAGCCCACGTCTGTTCTGTATGGAGTGAGACACATGCCTTTCATCTTCCTGGTCGAATTGCTTTCTGAGGGTGAAGCCGGCAAGTAGGGTCTCCTATCGTTTGAGTAGCAGTAGGTGGTAGCAGTAGGTGGTAGAAGTAGTAGCAGGACTAGTAGTAGTAGTAGTAGTAGTAGTAGTAGTAGTAGTAGTAGTAGTAGTAGTAGTAGCAGTAGCAGTAGCAGTAGCAGTAGCAGTAGCAGCAGCAGCAGTAGCAGTAGCAGTAGCAGTAGCAGTAGCAGTAGCAGTAGCAGTAGCAGTAGCAGTAGCAGTAGCAGTAGCAGTAGCAGTAGTAGTAGCAGTAGTAGTAGTAGTAGTAGTAGTAGTAGTAGTAGTAGTAGTAGTAGTAGTAGTAGTAGTAGTAGTAGTAGTAGTAGTAGTAGTAGTAGTAGTAGTAGTACGAGCAGCAGTAGTAGATCTTAGAGCCTGCAGTGAACGGGAATTGCCATTGCCAACCACGGCACTGGATGCTGGATGTCAATGACTCCTGCCAAAGGGACGCATCTGGTGTCAATGCCGAATCCGAGCTATGTCAAGGAAAGCCGCAGCAGGCTCAAAGGAAACTCCTGGGTGAGCCCCGGCTGCAGGAAGACACGGGCGTCCAGCGCGACCTGGACACGCAGCAAATGGCCGAACATGTCCCCAATGGCAGGCTGTGGCAGAACGGTGCACAGAGATCGTTGAGGCCCCGGGCAGACCCGAAGCGGTATTGCAGTGGGTGACTGCGTTCCAGAAAAAGCGGGAATGCTTCAGCCATGCCGCTCAGCCTCTTGTTCGGAACAGCTTTACATCTCTAAATGAACTCAACTTGTTTACCCTTTCCAGCCTTCGGGAATTCGTGTTGTTGGTGCCTGCAAGATGCATGGGCCAGCATCAAGCAACAAGCTACAGTAGCAACTCCGGAGTGCCTGCGGCGATTTGCAAGAGTTGCGCACGGAGCACAGCATCAGTGCCAACCTCGGTTTCTAAGTCTCTGAATTCGTCTGAGACAAGGCTTGCTAGGCACCTGCTCTGGAACGGTCACATCCGGGTCGAGAGAAGCCACCTGCTCCGAGGTGGCAGTTCCTGGCACCTGCGCGGAAAGAAAAGTCAGAGATATTCAGCTGGCATTTCCTGATTGCACTTGGGGCCAGGCGAAGGCAGCCTCGACCACCTGTGTCGTTCCAAGAGGCCCCATGAGCTTGCCTCAGTCAGATCATACGTCAAGCCCTTGCAGGGTCTTGAGCTTGAGTTCATGCACGTTTCGCTGCAGGATTTTCCGAAAGGCCATGCACTAGTGACCTGGTGAGCATTTTGCAGTCAGAGGCGATTTCACCTCAGGAAAGCAAAGTACACCAGCAGCAGGGCGAGCATAGATCGGGCGATTAGAAGCTGTGGGCTTCCGCGGCAGCTGAAGCTAGTGGGAGCAGATTGCGCCCCTGGAAGCCGGGGTGAAACACGCGGCAGGCCTTCGGAGCTATAGGCATCTTTCCATGTGGCACTCCAGACTGACTGCACCCTCTCGATGAAAGCTTCTGCCGTCTCTGTTTGCGATGGGTAAAGTGGTGCCGACACAGAGCTCACGCAGCACGTGCCACAACCGACATAGCAGGACTTCTCGGAGACAAGCCACTCCTTGTTGGTGGTGATGACTATCTGCACAGGCCACCCCAACTGGAAGATGGAAACGAGTCCGCCCGGTTTGAGGGGCATGCCCTGAGGTTCGAAGTTTCTTGTTCCCTCAGGATACAGCACCACTCCCTTCTCAGGGAAGGCATTGTATTTGTTGTCCCAGAAATTGGCTGTCCAGGCTACCGTGCCCTCGGCATGCTTCGTTCCGCGCTGGAAGAACCATATCCATCCGTGCAGATAGCCCCAAGCCGCTGTCATAGGAATTCCGAGGGCCACGAGCCATCGAGAGACAAAGGAGGGAGCCCCCAGCAAAGCAGAGTCCAGCACAAAGTCGCCCCAGCTCCTGTGATTGCAGAGGAACACTACCGGCCGCTGTGTGTCGTCAATGACCGGATGAGAGCCTGCCGTCGTGGCAAAAGTGGTTGCCATCAGGCGCAGGGTGTGGTCGCCAGTAACACGAGGAGACACACGGATCCCCAGCAGAAGCAGAAGGGCACAAAGCCCGTGAAGAAGCTGTCCATAGAGGACCACGGCCAGGAAAACAGGCACACACAGCGGATTGCAAGGAGGCTTGGCCTTGGTGGTTTTAGGTGACTCGCTCCCTTCGATGGAGAAGGAATTCTCAGGTGCTGCCATGAGCGCATCACCCTCCCTCTCCTGGCTGCCCTGGCTCATGACGCCGACTCCTTGGGAGCACAAAAGCACACCTGTGACTCACGGCTCAACAACCTCACTGCAAACAAAGGCTACTCTGAATGTTTTGATAAGGAGAGTGCGGCTATGCTGTCTCTTGCTGGATGCAGGTCTGTACAACGTGGATCCTGTCGAGCCGTTCCGCACCCAGACGAACGAAATGCAGATCACTTGACCCACGGGAGACTCTGTCGTTTATCCAGTCTAGCCTAGCAGGAGCTGCCAGTAGTTTGTCACTTCCAGATATTTCTCTGGCGTGTCCGGCTGGCGTACCCCGAACGCACGGCAACTCGCACTTGGACGCGGACAGCTGGGGGCTGACTCGAGATATCCAGGCCAGCGGGCCCAGGCGCAAAGCCTTTGGACCCCCGCAGAGGCAAGCATGAAAGCTGCTGCTGCAGACACGGAAACTGCAAGAGCTTGGGTAAACGGTAAACGGTACATGCTAAGCTTTCGGCCGCGAGTATCCTGATGGCACATACACCAACTCTGCAGGCAATGTTCCATTGAGGGGCAGCTCGCAGACCTCGAGTGGCGGCTATGGCAAGTGGGCACTGTCTCAGGTCAAAAGCGATTGCGTCGGGATGCTCCCCTTTTCCAGTGGATGAAGGACATGAAATGAAGAGAGAAGTCGTGATCACTAGGTTACAGGCAGCAGAAATCTGCAGGCGTGCTTAGGGCCGTGCAGATGGCCAGGAACACAGATCCACATTTGTCCTCTAACTGTGAGGGGCACAGCGAGCAAAGCACATGCAGACAGCCGTGCTTCAGCAACCAACACTGCCACAACACGGAGGAGAGTCCTCCAATCGTTGGATCCGTGCAGGCCTTCAGCGCGAGTGGTCGGCCGAAAGGCGTCGAAAAAGCTGGCGACGCTCGCGGTGACGGTAGGGACCTGGCCATAGTTATCTGATCAACTGCATGGCTTGTCGAGTCCCCCTAAACTGGTTGTTGCCTCCACAAGGAAGGGGGCGGGCACCTGAGAGTGATTTCCGAAGACTGGAAGAAGTGTGGCAGGTGGGCATTAAGGCTGCAGCATCCGACAGTTCCAGGGGCTCGTAGTGCAAGGTGAAATAGCACTTTGCGTTATTCACCGCCTCGCCTCCCTGCTCCTCTGCACTCCCACACTCTGAATCTCACCCTTTCCTGCCCTGACAACCTAACACACTCTATAGCTCCTGCAACCAGACCATGGCTGCAGGGTTCGCTGCACCCGGCTCCAAGACCTGGTAGCGAATTGGACTGGCTGTGGCTTCGCAAAAGACCAGCGCTGGCCCACAGGCCTGCACGACCTGCGGCGCCGGAGTGCGCTCCCGCAGCCAGAAGAATGCGCTTGCTGTTGGGAAGGACCAGAGGTATCCGGGGCGCCTTGAAGGTACAAGATCCACAAAAGCCGGCTGTGCCCTGTGCCCATTCACACTCGCACGCAGGGCAGGCCTTACGGTAGTCAGGATAGTCACATTCAGCGTCAGATCCGCATCGGTGTCCAGTCCGGCCTGTCCACTGCAAGCAACGAGGACCTACGCGTTGGACGATCTGCAAAGTGCTAAGATCGAGCCCGGGCCCGAATTTTGTGCCTCCTGCATCATGTTCTCCAAATTCAGCTTTCGAGGGCCATTGTATGGAAGCCAGCTGCAATCCAGGATGGACTTCGCGGTCCAGTTCATGCCAGTGACCGGTGCCGAATTGGTATAGCCTCGGCTGCAATCCTCCACGATCTTGCAAGGTTGAACAGCTCAATCTGAGGTAGGGATTGCCGGTCACTGCAGCCTAGGATGCCTTGCGGGAACGTCGTATGATATCGTATGTTGACGGCTTTGCGACTCATAATCACGACACCTCCGAAACTTGGCCAGCGCGCGGTAGGGCGTCGTGAGCACGCAACTCTGGCGCTCTGCACTTGGCTGCCCAACCTTGCAGGCCCGTTGGCACTGGCATGTGCAACGACTTGCGTCGGGCTAAACTGGGGACACACGAGGACGACGTGTTCTTGCCAAGATGCCGTGACAATCAAGGACTCTGCGGTCGACGGCATAACTTTCACGTCGACATCTTGGACGGTCAGCACTTGACCTGTCGCCTCTCGGACTCGCAGGAACAATTACACGCAGTCGACTGCGACACTCCCTGCAAACACTGAAGCTGTGCCTCTGCTGGTGCTTGAAAGCTCAGATCACCTGCAGCCGGCTCCACCTCAGAGGAGGTCCGATGCCCTGTTTGGAGATCCCCCTGAACTCAGCACACCTCCGGCCATTGCCCCGGCCTCCTTCGGTACCAGGAACGTGGCAGGCAAGCTCTCCAGCAAGCCTGCCAGCATCTCTCGGGCTGTGAAACTTAGTCTGAAGCACTGCTCCACAACAAATCTGTGCAAGTATCGGGGGGGGGGGGCCTGCAACGATTGCATAGGCCGTGACGACTGCCCCGCCGAGCACCTGTGAGCCGCACACAAGAGTCCTATTTACTCAACACTCACTGTACACGCTGAGACACGCCACCACAACGGCACGAAATCCCTCCACTTGCAGGTAAAAAGCCTGAAACTGCCCGAGGTAGTCGCAAAGCTTTGGCACTTCGGCGGCCCTTGGTTGGATGCACACTCTTCGAAGGCAAGCGCGCGAGGCTGATAGGCAAAAGATGCCCAGCATCAGCGACTTGCACTGACAACATCTAACGACTGACCAGCTCAGGCGGCTGAATCAGCGACACCCCGCTGCACTCGCTCGGGAAAGCCTGTCCGGACCATGCGCGCAATGCAGAATCGAGCTTGAAACTGCAGCAGAGCTTGCAGAATAATCCGTTACTTACCTATGACCACAACGACGACGACCACGACGACGACAGGCGAAGGACGAGGACGAGGACGAAGACGAGGAACGACCACGACGACGACGACGAGGACGAGCAGTAAGAAAAATAATCCTTCTCCCGCGACGACGACGACGACGACGACTGCTACCCCTACGGCAACGAGGACGGCCACGATCACCACCACCACCACCCCCACCTCCGCTACCAGCACCATCACGACTACCCTTGCAATCAACACTACCATCGCAGGATGAACGGCAGTAAAGGCAAAGATCCCCATTATCTTCCTGCTTCTCGTCCTCAACATCATCACCCCTACCATCATCGCCATCACCATCATCTCCATGCTTTTTCTACGCGCAGCTGCCCTCCGACCGCCTCAGGAGAAAGTCCTACGGACGGCGCTGCCGAGCGGAAGCGCTCCAGGAAGGCTGCCAGGGGCGTCAAGGAGTGCTGGAAGAAACAGGAACAGGTGCATCAAGACGAATTTAGAAAGAGTCTAGCTTCTGAGGGCTTCCTGGGCAAGCATGCAGCAGCACGCAGACAAAAGACAAAAAGACATCCTGCAGACTTCGAGAACTCATACTGTGCCTCCTTGGTTGCGGATACACACAAAATTCAGGAAAGCAGGATAGTCATCCCGCCTGTGCTGAGCGACGACACGTTTTGGGAGTTGATTTCCAGCAGGGTCGTCGTCGGATCCTCGCAGCAGAGTATTCAGTCCAGACGTCACTTCTGACTGGTTGAGATCCAGGTGTCGCCTCCACCTGTCCAAGTTCTGCTCGCACCGAGAACAGCACGCGAGCAGATGAGCTCCTGACCCACTGCATAAAACGAAATAAGCTTGTTGTACAAAAAAACTTTACTGTGCTCTTGGGATGCGAGCCGTTTGCAGCCGGGCGTCGGCTGTATCAATTGGATCCGATGCACCTGACGCATGGCTCCTTAGCTTCGTGGTATCGCTGACTGGAACTCTCTGTTGCTGCCGCCTGTCAGTCTTCGTTTGAGAACGGAGATTCTCCTCTGCGATTCTGGGAGCAAAAGACAAACAAATTGTCTCTTCCATGGCCCACCCCTCAACCCTAACGTTCAATCCTGATTCGCACGCACAGCATGTGGCCACTTGCGCACTTCTGTTTGCAAATCCTGCCCACCCCCCAGCCCCGCCGGGTTCATCGGCAGGCCCCTCTCGTTCGGTCAAGATTTTCCAGCCTTGATGAATGCAACCACCAGGAAAGCATTTGCTCATCTTCTCCCTCTGAAAGTCAAAATCCTCTGACAGAAGCTCAAGCCATCTTCCTCTTCCTGATCAGAGGAACAACTCTAAACCGAAAGTTGTCTCTATCTTCTTCCGACGGTCGATGTCTTCGAACCCGTACTGCGCTCTCGTGATGTATCCCTACCCCATCCTACCCCCGTGCAACAAGAGTTACCCCTAAAAGCACACACGCAAACAGGCCTTAGCTGGCTGTCCCCGAGCCGGGTACACCCAAACTCAATCTGTTAAGAAGGCTGTGGGCCACGACCCTTTTCGAGGAGCAGTTCGGCCTCCTTTCTTGTTTCACCCACAGGTTCCCACTGCACTGTGGGTTGTTCTGCAACCCCGTGCTACCCTGTTGCGACCCGTGTTCACCCGTGTTCGTGGCCAGAAGGTGCGACAGTCGGTCCCAGTCTGCTTCACGTCTTCACTCAGGCTTGCACATGCCCGCTGCACGGGATGCCCATGGCAGCACGAAATCGGAACGAAAGGATGAAGCAGTGCCGATATCCGAGTGAGCTGCACCCCCCGATTCTCCCATTCACCCAATTCAGTGTGGATGGAGACGAGAATACCGATCATACCAGGATTCGGAAATACTAGCGTGTCCACAATTCATCTCTAGTGGCCCATGACTGAAGCACCCGGACGTGAATGCACCGCATTCCGGCTGTCAATGGCTCTTTAGGGTGTGAAATGTGAAACTCACTCGCCTAGCCTCAGTCTACATCCTACCTAAAATGTCGTAAAATCTGATCGCTGTCATCTTATGCAACAATACAAGCGGTTCTCGAATTTTAGTGCCTTCCCTGCCTCTTCACGCCTCATCGGATCTACTCACTCGCGGAACCAACCATGACGGCTTCGCAAAGGCTTAGAGGGCTGAAATTTACGCATCTTGGTCACTTCCTGAATTTGCATGTATTCTGACGAGGCTCGCTCACGGCTGCTCCCAGGAAACCTCAATATCCGTTTTCTGCTGCATGTGTCACAGATGGCAAGCAATGCGAGACGACATCCACTCGGGTGCGGTCAAGAGACCACGAATCGCCAAGGCTCCAAGCCTCCACCGGCTCTGCTTGGATGATTGGTGCCTGTCGGACTCGGTTTCACTGACTGGCATTGTGTGTAAACGGGCTTATGTTGGCACTGGCTGCCAGATCCGTGGCGAGCACTGAAGACAACAGGGTAACGGGCCACAGCGACGACGACAGCACGAGAACGCAAACGATGACGACCACCACCACCGCCACCAACAACATCATACAACTACGACGACTGCGACGTCTACGACCACTACTACCACGACGACGACTGCTGCTGCTACTACTTCTACTACGACTGCTACTACTACTACTACTACTACTCCTCCTGCTACTGCTACTACTACTCCTCCTAATCCCACTATTACGACTACAACCACCACCGCTGCGACTGCCGGTCCCGCAACCACTACCACAGCACGAGCACGACCACGGCACTCCTGCTACTACTACCGCTACACCTGCTACAACTGCTGCTGCTGCTGATACTGCTACTACCACTACTACCACTACTACTACTACTACTACTACTACTACTACTACTACTACTACTACTACTACTTCTTCTTCTTCTACTACTACTACTACTACTACTACAATTTCATTTTCATTCCAATCGCAGCCGGTCGCTCAGCTTGGCGTCAGGTACGTGGCAGTGCATTGCACCGGTGTTTCAAGAGCACAGAATCCACATGGGCAAGTCTCGCTACGAATAGCTGCAAACTTGCGACCTACTCAACTTGTCAAGAGAAGAGAGCTGTGCAATGTGGCACAGATGCTCACAATGGCAACAGTATACATACTGATGCGTACGGAGGTGCGAGAGTGCAAAAGTGTGGTGAACCGAGTCTATCCGCGATGTAAATTACACTGTACAAGTGGGACTCAGCGCAAGTACAAGTCGCCCAGGTGGGCTCACTAGGAGTGGCCAACATGGCACACTGACGTACCACCTATTGTGTCGGGGTCGGCAACGCAAACTCCAGATGGTGCAGACTGCGATGGTGATGCGATGTCCCTCCTAGGGGCGTGTCTTGTGCCATTGGTATGGATCAAAAACCACGGGCAAAGTGAGGTTGCCTACTGCTACTACTGCTGCTGCTGCTGCTACTACTACTACTACTACTACTGCTTCTACTACTACTGCGACTACTACTCCTACTGCTACTGCTACTGCTACCATTGCTACCACCACGACTCGCGCTCCTCCCCCTCCTCCTCCTCCTCCTCCTCCTCCTCCTCCTTCTACCAGTTCTCTCCTTGCTGTTTATTAACAATCATCCTCGACATCATCATCATCATCATCAGCATCAGCATCATAATCATCAGCACCATAAGCGAAAACGGTCATGACTATCATCCTCGTCATCATCGTCGCTATTGTCGTCATATCATCGTCAGCAGCAGCATAAGCATCCGTATGTTATTCTTCATATTCAGTATGGTCGTATCACGTCGCTGAAAGCCTCAGATGCAGCACCGTGTCGTTCATCTTCATCTCTACCAACACTGTCACTATCATCTCGTCCTCTCACTGCAACCATCATGAGCACCAGCATCACATAGCATCACCACTTCCACAACCGCCACGGCCACTGCCTCGTCGTCGTCTTATCTGTGGTACTAGGAAATCAACTGATAGATGGCTTCTTTCATTCACCGCTGCGCATCTGCACACCGTTGCCTCCACTCGCGTCGCCACGAAGAGCACACGAAGGTACCCGGGAGTAGTCCAAATATACCCTGGCTCCTCCACATGGTACGAAGAGGTGATGGGGACTTTGCGGGTCCCTTTCGACCCTCGGTCTCCTTGGCCCGCCACTCTATCTGGAGAAGGGTGGTTCTGTTGGGTGCCTGGCACAACCGACGCTTCATCTTCTGCACTCAAGCAACATCCAGTCGGTCGACCTCCAGGTTATCCGCAACCCTCAGAAGAAGTCCTGGCACAAACACGGGCAGCGCAGGCGTTCGCTGCCATGTATCTTCATGTTGCAGAATTATAACAGGACGTGTTGACAACTCTAATCTGGCTGTGTCCTCTGCTTGGCGGGAGCTCTGTCCAAGACGAGAAGCCCAAGGCTCCACGTTCTAGCCGATACTGGAGCTGCAACCTCAACTAGCGCGGCTGCCAACCACAGCATGCATGAAATACGGCATAAGGCAAACATTATCGCATCTGTCGAGACGCCCCGGAGTGTCGACCGGAACGCCACTAACATCGAGGTCGAAGCTCAACTCTTCCATTCCTCGAGGGGCCTGGATGCAGCTTCATCCATTCGCCGCTCATTAGCGAATCGTCCATACCATGCCGGAACTTCTAGCCTGAGCAACCAAGACACGAGCCAAGCGTTCTGCTCAGCTGCAAAGCCTTCCAGTGGACTGTCCGCGAGTGCCGGCCACTGCAACGCTAGCCGCGCCCGCGCCTGCGCTCCAGTACGGGCTGCTGTCTAGTTCACAAGAGGGAATGCTGCGTAACTTTCAACTGCGAAAACTGACATCCAGCAATACGCTGCAAACGAAAAGGATGCAACATGCCGCAATAATTTTGTGGCGAGGTAACACCATCCGTGGCTGCTGCAAAGTACGTGTATCCTTCAATCATGTACAGCAGTTGGTGCCTGGCCATCGATCGTGTAAGCGCACGTGGTTCGAGTACTTGGGTCGAATCCCACCTTCTCGGCCCAAGCAGTGACAGTCACCTGAGCATGTCATACTTTCCACGACGAGAGCTCGTATCCGGTCAGGACTCGGATTCCACTGTAGGCAATGCTGGTATGCAGGCGGGAGTCCACTCCAGGCGTGTTCAGAACCAGTGGAGCAACGAAGATAGCTTGACCACTGCTCCTGTTGAGGATGCATGCACACTGCAGTTCAGCGTCTGGGACTGCAGATTCCCGCAGAAAGCACAAAAACCCTGCACAAACGATAAGCGAGACACCCTTGGATCTCGTAAAAGATCGTTGCATCCGGCTGCTGATCGAGGAGCAAGTTTACCTGCGTGCGGTGGCTATCCATATGTAAAGCCGACGATGCATGAGGGAACTAGTGAAGCCAACAGGCCTCAACCTGCAAAGAATAGGAGGTTTCCGTTGAGAGGTCTCCGGAGACCACAACCTCGGACGGATCTGCGTGCATTGGGCTAGCTGTGCTGGTCGAGAGCAAACCCCTCAAGCATCCTGCTGCCAGGCAGCGCATCGAGGCGGGTTCATCTGGTCATTTCCGTAAAGCTCTACGCGACTCTCTAGGGACATTGTCCACATCGGATGGCAAAGCACCGCCCGCACAATCACGGATTCCTGGCGCCTCGCAGAAAGCGCAGAAGGAGAAGGATCCCACCCCAGCATCGGAGCCGAAGCTTCAAAGGGCCTGATGATGTCGAGCCCCGGCTCTGGAACGTTGGCGGGCTCCTGCAACGAGCCATGGCCGTTGCCCATCTCTGCTCGGTGCTCAATGATGCTGTCTGTCAAATCCTCGTAGAGAAGCGACGTTTCGCATGATGGAGCCTGCGGTGCGCTGCCGTACCTGGCTTGACCAGCACGAGGAACTGTGGACTTAGACTTCGAACCAATAAAAACGTGCCAAACACGTCATGAGCCGAGGTGCTCGTAGCGGATCGCCAGGAGCCATGGAGCCTCGAGGTCCTTCCGGCTTCTACATTTCAATCACTCAGCTGAAACTCGATCCACGCCGATTTCTGGCAACTGGCCTGCCCCGGGGGGAAGGAGAGGCGAACTCGAGTTCCCGCAGTGTGGTATGTGCCGTTGTCCAGATTGATCACCGGAGACTGCAGTGGCCCACCGACCGGAACGCACTTGCCCAGCAGGTTGGGACCGTAGCCATCGGCACAGCGACAAGACATCGCGTCCTGCTCAAAAGAGAAACAAGCGGCTGCTTTACAGATCCAGGTAGGTGTCGGTAGGCCCAACTCTCACAAATGCCCTGGCCTGCCGCGGCAGCACGGATCGCGGCGCCTGCCATCGGCGGCACTCTACACACTTCTGGCATCATTGACCTGTCAACCCCGAACGAAGTCTGAAATGAGGTCAGCGAGCCTGTTGATTTTATGACAACGACCCGTCTGAGAAAATGTCAAAGCACCTCTCCGGAGCAGCGTGAACAGCTCAAGGAAGGATCGGCATGCGCCAGGACGCGGCGGTGATGCAGTAAAGTTGGTTGATCGGCCTGCCACGAGGTTTCGCAAGCCTCTGACTCGACCCGCTAGTCATCAACGGAACAAGTAACATGAAACAGGGGCTAGCTAGCTTGAGCGGACGCGCATGGACCTACCGTGACATCTCAAGCCCTGCTCCAAGTTCTTGCCTGCAATGCGACATCGTAGAGCCTTGCATTCTGGGGCTCTGCTACAGAATCTCACTGCAACTCTCAGCCGGCGTTCGGAATGTCAACAACGTGATGGCTACAGTAGGAGCAAGACCTGTCTACCGACTACTCAGGGCCTCGGCCTGCACTCCTGCCACAATTCGTTTGCTGCAGGCTGGACACGAAGATACCGCCAGGCGTTGACTGGAGGGCGACGGCGTCTCCACCTACCGGATGCTTTCCCAACTTGCACAAGGCATTTTTCAAAAAGAGCTGCTTCAAAGCCAAACGTTGGGACCCTTCGCCGAGCCTCCAGCGAAACATAGCTTGCCGAGGCACCACCCCAAACCTCCACCACAGCCACCTCCGACATAGCCATCAAGAGCACATCAGTTTGCTCGCATCTCAAACATCTCATTGCAAGCACGATCGTTTCCTGCCGGCCTCGGACGGGTCCGGTGAGAGAGCGATGCGCTGCGGCAGCGCTACGAAGCCAACCGAGCCAAGTATGGTGTGCTCTGCATCGTAGATGGTTGCATTCCTGGCGGAGACAAAGGCGCGGCGAGCGGTGCATGGACGCTGAAAAGCGATTACAGCTATCTCAGCATCACAAAAGCACATCATGCTCTGTGTTGGCGTCCTCACTTCACCAGATCCAGTCAGGTGCATGGCAGAGGCAAGCCATGTCCTGCATAGCAAGCAGAAGATGAAACCACATTCGCGGTGGCACCGATCCCGTGCCAATCCCAGGTCAGGCAATCAGAGCAGACGGCCCCGCAAGCGTGTGTTGTCCCACTGGGTAGGCTGCGATCGTGTGAAAGTGAGAACAAGAGCTTCGGCAGCTTCCGAGGTGCTGGCTGGAAGTAGGCCGGCGGACAATCACAGGAGCAGTCTGACTGACGGAGCAAAACACCTCGGGTGCGGAAGCATGCAAGGTCCGGCCCATACCATGCTGTTCAGGGGAAGCCAGTCCCAGTGCTTCCGAGAAGCCTGGGCAAGCTTCCACACAGATTCCGGGCAATGCGCCGCAAAGCTCGTAGCCAGTTCGGCACTCTGATCGCTCCGAGCTGGTGTTGGGGGCCGTGAGCCTAGCAAAGCGCTCAAATCAAACATTCTCCACGTGTGCCCGAGTCTGGGCAAGGAGAAGCAATACTTTGGGACCGAAGCCCCTCAAGGCCTGGGCAAGGCCTGGCACGTGGAACCCTCGAGCTGCTCAAAGGGCCTCAAACCAGGGAAATGCTCTCTGCCAGCTAGCCAAGTATAGCGGCACCATGGAGAACTTGACGTGCTGTCGGCCTCTCGAAAAGCCGCAGCAAGTCTTGACACTCTATAGCAAGCCGGCATGCGTTATTTGCACGTGTAAGCATGGCTTTTGCATGGCTCTTTGGCTTTCATACGCTTCTCCATCGGCCGAGGGTCGAATTGCAGGCCGCACGGCGTCGCAGCTCCGAGATCTGTGACCCGAGCGTCAGCCCGTCCAAGGCTTCATGGTGCACACGCCTAGGTCTGTTAGGCAATGCGTTGCTTCGGTGTGCATGACTGTGCCCGCTCGCGGTCTGGAACGTAGATCAACTGTGTGCTGGACATGGCCTCGACTAACCTCTCTCGCGCGCTATTGCCAGTGATTGGCCAAGCTAAGCAGTGCACACTTCGTCCAACTGGCCCGTGTACAAGGGCAGGTCATAGTAGGGTCTGCCGGCAGCCAGCAGCTCTGGAAAACCTTTCAGCGGCTCCAAATCTGAAGATTAGGCCTTAGGCCCCAAGGCCCCAAAACTCGCTTTTTGCCGGCGAAGAGCGTTTCACGTTCACGGGCCCCACATGGAAAACATCCCGGTGTGCTGGCACGATGTAGGGGGCTTCGAGGATGTCGATCAAAGACACGACACGGTACCCTGAGGATGCCAGCTCCCCATCCTCAATGGCGATGGATTCAACACAAACTACCACTCGCTCATGCGTTCGGACCAGCTTGGTTCAGGACAGAATGCAACGACAGTGATGCCGAGGATCGACATAAAAGAAGACATTGTGCGTCGATGCCAGATTTGGGGTGACCACCACTGCCACATGGCGCCAAGCTTGTCGGCTGTTGTCCCAGTTGACAGGATTCGATGCGATCACGCTGTCCTGCGCATGCTTCCAATGCTAACGGTGCACTCTCTGTTTTGCAATGCCGCCACACCGCACCTCCGCGCTCAGATGCGAAGCCAAGGTGATACGGCTGTGATAGAAAAGGAGCCTTGGAAAACCCTGCACATATGCAGAGCGGATTACACCCAATTGTTTACTCTGGTGCCGGCAACTCGCAAATTGCAGCATCTTGGGCTCCTGCTGCGCCTGGCCAGACGAGCTTCGGCGTAAAGCCAGATACCTTCTATGACGATACTGCGCTGCGTTGCAATTCGATCATCGAAGGAGCTATTTTAAAACGCACGAACCGCATCTTTGTCGGACACTGGCCGAGGTAACCAGCATGAACTCGTCGTCCGTGCAGTTTCTACAATGATATACGAAATCTGGAATACAACTGAGGCACCATGTGGGGAAGCTGCCGACAAGAACCGCCATACTGCTGGAGCTGGTGCTGCCTGGCACTGCACTACACTTTGGTCAGAAGGTTCCAATTCAGTCTAGTAGCAGTTGCTTCGAGTTGCCGCAAACTTTTCCAGGCCTACAGGTATGGCATCCAGCGATATGTTCACGAACAGCTCCACGGTAAAAGGAGCCGCCATTGTCGCCGCTGCATTGCCTTGTCCGGCAGCGAGATGCTGTTGAAGAGGTGTAAACCCCGAAAGAAAACAGTGGACTCGGCGCTTGCTACTGAGCCCTTGCTGAAGTTCAACAGCGCATGGCGAGCATCCGATTGAAGCAGGCATTGCCATCGGAAACGCAAGAGTGATCTCGCAGCCATCTGGTGCACCATGCCCCGCTGTGGTAAAGTTTGCCACTGCATTGAATAGCTCGTCCTCAAGTTTGGAGTTGGCTCAACTCGTGTCATGCCGGATGGGTTGGGGGTTTCGGTGGCGCTGTAAGTCGAGCATCGGACACCCCCTCTGGCGAAGAGCAAGCTTCCCAAGTATTGTTGCCTGAGCTGCAGAAGATGTCACAAGTGACGGCCGGATTGGACGCAAAGTTGCATCGCTAACAGATGACACCACGATTGCTGGAGTCCTGGGGCCTCCACAGGCCGGAGAGAAGTAGCCATGGCCAACTGGAGCGCAGGATCGGCTCAAAGGATGCTCGTCTGCCTCGAAGCATGCGCTGGATCGACACGGGGACACTGCGACGGTCTGTGACCATCAAATCCGTGCCTTCTCGCAGATAAATGGACACGAACTGTTCGGGTTTTCGAAGGAGTAGAAAATACCATTTCCATCCACGGGGTCACATGCCTCCAGAATCAGACACTGTGATAACGATGAAACTTGTTCGCAGCACTGCATTGATCCATGCGTCCACTGACTGCAAGGGTGCCTGTAAGACATCGCTGGCTGCCCAGAACCCAACAGAAGCTTGGCTGCATAGCTGGAAATTGCAAGAGAACTGCCTCGGTGAAAGCAAGATCGAAGACTGATTTCTGGAGCCGTGTCACAAGCAAAACCAACCGGCTAAGGCAGTCAGCTGAGGTTCAGCTTCACAGACTCCGCTACCTATCGTCTCTGTACCCCGACAGCAACCCCACAGCACCATCAGGCCCGATGATGTTCCTCAATCCGAGTCAAACCAACTGACAGAAGCCGGCCCTCTGAATCCGTGATGGGCATGGAAGTACAGACCAATGGTTTGAGCGGTGTAGAGCTATCGACCTTTCTATTTGCATGGTCACACCTCGACGAGACATCGCCCCTTCCGCCGACACTAACCTGTCCTTGTAGTCGTCTTTGGTTGCAAGTCGTGCGTGGGCTGTCTACGAGATCCGTCCGACTCTTCTGTCTTTGAAATGCCATCCGGTCGCCGATAGCAGCCGATTTGGCAAGTCTCGTCACACGTGGCACTTGGGCAGGCCTGACAGAAATATGGTTGAGCCGAAGGAAATCATTTGCTTATCGAACAGCTCCGGTCCATGGGATGCAGGGAAAAGGAATGGCGGATGGTTCAGTACCACCGGTCGATGCACACGGCAGCTCCATCTTCGCAATGAAACAGACTCAGCCAGCCTGCAAATGATCTCTTGCTTACAGATGCACCTCCATGTCCAGGCTGAGACTTGCCAACTGGAAAAGCTGCTCGCTGGTGCAAAGGTTCAATGACTCCTGGCTGCGAGTCTTCATCCACACATCGCACCAAGCTTCTGCTACTTCTTCGCCTTAACCTTCAATTCCATCGTGGTCAGTCCGACGCGTGATTTGCATACATGATTTGCTAAGACCAGGACACGGTATGCTATCTAGGGGTACGTGCTGTTGTGCTCCAATGTCTCGCTCGTGCAGATTCGTGCACACAACGACCTTCAAGTGCAGTTCAGGCAAGGCGTGGCCATCTTAGAGGGGGCGCATGAAACGAGTTTGCCACACCAAGACAACGTCACCTCCACCTCGGGCGCCGCCCCCCGCAGCGTCATCTCCTGAACTGCGTGCAACTGGATGACCTGCCATCTACGAACAGCGATATGCACGAGACATTGGGAGACATTGGGAGACTGCAGACGAGTCTGGCCTGGTCGCCAGATGTGAAGGCGGATGTTGCAGTGCCAGTCCGTGTTGCATAGTTGGCGAAGGGACCAACAAACGCAAGACCTCGGTCGGGGCTGCTGCCAGGCAGCTACTTGTACCTGTGCTCAAAGCAGAACAAGGAGTTACACATGCCAAGTCTCTCTTCGAGGTATCCGACTGCCTCAGTGTGTCCCCAGCAATGGCTACACTATAGACAAGATTCAACATGTACTGCGTGCATGTACTGCTTGCATCAGGTCACATGTGCCGCTGCTCGCCATTGACAGCGAACAGTTCCGTCGCTGACTTGAAAGCAGCGTCGCCAGCATATGGCGCGGCAGACAGCACTTCGTGTGCTGTGGCGTTGAAGAGGCGGCCTTGGATACAAGTTCTCCCAAGGAGCGACTCAGACACCTGCTCGGCATCAGCCAAGACACCGCAGAAGTCCAGAGACAGAAGCGGGCGCGTGCTGGCGACCAGCGGCACGGAGGCCTTGAGTCCACTGGCTGTACTTTCAAGGTCGACTTTCAGTGTCACGGACCAGGCCCAGGCCTGTGGTAGTCTGTCTTTAGCATCCTGTACGTGAAACGCCAGAGGCTGCTGCAAGCTGCAGGACGGGGAAAGCTGTGCAGAAGTGGCAGCATCACTCGTCCTGGAGACGGTCGCTTAGACAGCGTCGCAGTGGCGTCGAGGCCGACAAGCCACTGGGAGGCGGTAGCACCTCCAAGAGCTTCGTGAAGATGCCTCACTGTTTGTTGCAGTTTGTAGCCAGGGTGGGGGGCGGGGTGGTGGGAATGGGGTGTAGTAGGGTGGAGGATGGGTGCGGGGCATGGCGAAGGGGTGCAACAAGCACTGGACCTAAAGATCCCCAACCGTGAGCCATTCCAAAGCCAGCAGGCCATTCGCCGCATCCTGCACGCTGTCCACAGCAGAGACAGCAGCTGTGCGCGGAGAGAACTTCATCTCGCAATTGACTTCAGCAATGGCGGCCAGGGCTGCTGCCTGCGGTGGAAATCTTCGGTGTGGGTGATACCAGCAATTTCATCATCACCATCGTCCTACCCGGCCCGATCTGTTTGCCACACAAACAAGGACTCAAACTCAATCCACAGCACAGGAAGCCAGGAAGCGCTCCATGGAGCACCATTAGGAGAAGCGGCAGTGACCAGTTACGGTAAATTCTGCCCCAAGGATCCCCAAGGCTTCATGCCAACAGGTTTGTTTGCATTTGCGCATGGCTTCACGAATGCAGTTTAAAGTTGCAGCCTGGAGCGCCAGCGACGCCCCAACAGCCAAGGCTTCCACTGCCCGGCGCAGGAAGTCGAACTGCGTGAGGATCATGACCTGACCTGTATCAAACAACTATTGCTGTTGCGGAGTAAAGCAGCATAGTCACCGCGGACGATGCCACAAAGAGACCTACAGTCAATCGACATTTCCGCCTAGGTCAGTAGACACAAACGGTATGGCCCGGCTCGTAGTCAACATCGTTGTTTTCTTTTCTTCTGTCCTGCCTCCCCTCCTGCCACGATTATTGTCTTTACTGGTCCGTTCGACACGCTCAGGTCGTGGCCGGCATCCATACCGGCGAACACATCGTCCTGCCAGAGACAGGCAAAACGATTGAAAATGTACGGAGCCACCACACTTGCAGTGTCAGCAGTGAAGGATGCCCTGAGATTTCTGGTTGTGTATATATCGGGCTTCACTTCGAACCTCAAACTACGTCAGTTGCCGGTACAGGCTAGAATTCCTAACTCCTGAGTGTGATTCGAAACGAAGAACAAAACTCCCAGGTCCTGTCCATCCAGCTGCGACGCAACATCCTGCGTGCAGTAACACCAGTTGCTGACATCAGCGAGCTCCAAGCAACATCTCTATTGGGAAATGCACGCTGGCGACCTGCGAACCATCGGATTAAAAACTTGAAACTTCCTGCACCAAGACCTCAGTAAGCAAACCTCTCGTGAGCCAGCTGAGCAGCTATCGACGACAACCAAAATCACGGCTGATGACGGATGACTTCTTGGCCTCCTGCACGATACGACTTGCATTTCACAGTCCTGTGCTTTGCTCTGCCACCCGATGCCACAGAGTGAACTGCTAAGCGTCGGAATGGAGCTCGTCAGGTCCTAAACAGCCGCACCAGCAGAAGAATTGAAGAGTTACATTAGGACAGCTCTTGCCCGTACTCCTCGAGGCGACTCGCCAAACTCAGCAGAGATGTAGGCAGAGGCGCAGCGCCTTCCAGTCTCACCAACAGGAGACTCTCTGTGTTGTGCTGTTGTGTGCTGTTGTATGCTGTTGTGTGGGGTGTGGGGACCAGCGTCGGCGCCTGCCACTGGCACAGGTCCAGTGTCTGCATTCACAAAGCTGCTGAAGCTCGCACTTCGCTCCTGAAAGCACTGTCAAATCCCTGGCCACCAAGGCCGACTTTCTGTGCCGCAACGTGGTGATGAGCGCTTGTGTCTCGGTGACTGCGTCACGACTGCAGTCCTCCAGAACGGAGCGCATTCCCTCAATGCCAATGTCTGTGTGACCTGCAGCACGAGAGCACCAGGCATGTGGTTGAGGCAGGCTCGTGTGCGGTAGACACAGAAAGAGCAAGCGCGGCGGCCCTTCTTTTCCCGTGGCACAATGGTCTGTGCTGACGCGTTTCTGAGTCTCTGAGCTTCGGATTGTGTTCTGAATGCAGCAGTCGCGCATCCTCCAAGGGGAAAGGTGCGAGGCGCTTCCCTCGCAGCGTCGGATTGACGAAGGCGCAGCCTGCTTTGAGCAGTCTGGTCGACTGCAAGATCAATCTCGGTTGCACCGCATTAAAATTTCTGGTCCTTGGTTATGCACACTGCTGAAAAGATGTACTATGTGCGCAGCGTGCAAGACCCCGCTAGACGGTAGAAAGAATTCTTTGAGAGGGCCCGGAGGTCCATTGCCACGTCGAGGGGTCTAGCATGCAGCTGAAGTGCAGCACGCACTTAGAAGTAATATGCTGAAGTCTGATGAATCACAATGTATCGAAGCGTGCCAAGCTTTGGGCGGCGGATGCTTGTGCTTGCTTGAGACTATCGCAGCGTTGAAGTGATATGCTTCGACACAGTCTGGACAGATGCAAAAGACTTTGCTGCGGCGGAGGCACACGTGAAACTCGCTGTAGCAGCCTGTTATCTGCACAGGTACGCCTGAAGCGTAAGGATCTGAAGCGTAAGGATCGTAAGAGCTCCGAATCCGCTTTCGCCAAGGGGGCGAGCGGAAGGGTCAAGCTTCCCACGAAAATGCTGTGGCACAGCGACTGTCTCCAAAGCATGGCAGCTGCAGAACCAAGTACTGCGTCAGCTGTTGCGGCAGAAGTGTCTCACAGTCGCTGCCAAACACAACCACTACGTAGTTTGAAACGAACTTGTCTGTACACAAGTCTTTCAGGGCAGGCAGAAGGGTCTTGCGGCCAATATATGGGTTCAACTGCTGCTAAAAGTAGCAACAGTGCTACAGTCGCAAGCACAACCCTTGGGAGTGAGGAATGTCTCCAGCTGGCGATAAGAACCAGCAGGGTGGCGACTGCAGCTTCAATAAGCTGATGCTCGGCCGAGTTGGGCGTATATATCCGTCATAGAGTCTATGTGGAGTCTACATCGCCGGTCCTGCGGTCGGATGTCGAATGGATGGAGACTTCAAGCGGTCACTTCAGCACGAGACCCACCTGTGCGGGTGGTGATGTCACTGCAGCAATCGCTTGTGGTGACCAGCCTGAACTCCCTGCCATCCGTGTGGGGCTGTTCATCACGCAGCCACCTGGAGTACAACCTGCGAATCTTCCGCACGGCACCGGCCTGTGGACTGGTCAGGAACACCCTCTGCGCTCTGCTGGGCTCTGCTGGGCTCTTGAGGCTTGCTGCGAGAAACTCTGACAAAGCCGTGACTGATGCCTGCAGCGTCCCTGCTGGACTTCCTTCCAACCCCCGATACCTCCACCCGGCGCGCCGGGTCGGCCACTTTGGACAGAGACACCAAGAATCTCTCCAAGGAAACAGAAGCCATTCTGATGCTAGTACTTTCTGAGCTGTACAACAGCGAGGGGATTTCATTGGGCAGGGGCACTGACAGGCTGCAAGGTCTGAAGTATGAAAATACTCGTAAGAACATAACAGGTGGCCGGAACAGGAAGGATGAGGAAGGCTTGCATCGCGACGCGACGACTCGATGCCAAGGGACTATCCGTCCTCTCTGGGAATCAGAGGGAATTTGTACACAGCTCGGCCCTCAGATTCCAGGCCTAGCCTTTCCAGCCAGCTCAAGAGCTTCCTTCAACTACAGCTCTCTGACTTCTGAATCAGCACCAAGTGTATCAGTTAATAGTATACTTACGATTGAAGCTTCGGGGATGGCTGTCGGCGTTGCAGCCACAAATCTGACGAAGGCATGACGTTTTTCGAATTCGTCTCTCCTTCATGCAAGAGAAGCCAGATGCTGCTCACCTTCGACGAAGTCCTGAAGACTCGCGCCACGAGCAAACCTTGCACGTCACACACAGCCCCTCAAGCGCGAAGCCGGAGACCAGTAAAGTCCAAGCAGTGGCTAGGAGAAGCTCGACGCTTGTGACACGCTGAGCTAAGTATCCAACCAAGACAAGGGGCATCCACGCACGAGAGAGTTCCTGTCATCACCGGCAAACTCTCATCATCGACAACATGCCATGGAGACGGGAGCCGGAAAAGCATCACGAGCAGCTCGTCGAGTTGACGCTTACACAGCACGACCAGTACTCCTCAAGATGCGTTTTCGCGTCTAGAGCTGGAAGACGGTCATGCCACCTGCTGAAAACGATGAGTGTAGAATCACGATAACAACTCTGCCCCAGGAATTCAGACTACTGCCTTCGCTGTAGTGCGCCAGACACTCCAAACCACGACCTGCGAGCTTCGAGCTTCGGCGGCCGTGCTGACGATGCTCATATCTTGCAGGGTGCGAAGGGCCTGCCGCAGAAGTCTCTCCTTCTGGAGAAAGCGGAACCTGGCAAAGCACCACATCCGGATAAAGCGCACTGAACCCTTCCGGCTGCATTGAGACAGGCCCTTGCACGACATTGAAATCAGTTTCTGAGCCAGTGTTGCAATCCGAGAAACTCCGCCAGCATCCTTATCGTTGGACGAACTGCTCAGATCCTCGGAAACTTGGATTGTAGATACTGCATGGAGAATTGTCCCCACTGTGTCCTTGCCCATGAAATCGCCCGCAGTTGCGCATCAAACACAAACGTCGCATAGACAAGAGGTAGTAGTAGCAAAAGTAGCAACAACACTCCTACTTCTGGGTTTACTTCTCCTTCGGCTCGCTTATACTGCTGCGGTTCCGTTTCGTTGCTTTCGACTCGCGAACATCCACAAACGTCCTTGTTGTTTGCCCCAGTGGGCAACATAGAGTGTGCTAATTTCAGCAGTGTCGCAGGAACAGCTAAGGCGGGCTGCCAGCGACAAGCCAAGGCTCAGATCGGAAGCTTGGAGCAACGACCATCGAATCGGGAGTATCCCTGTCCATTCAACTTTGTGTTGCAAGACCAAGCAATCGGAAACTGGCCTTGATTATGCAGCCACTGCGGGCTCGGCCAATTCATGAGATCACGCCAGCTGCATACTCTTTGAAGGCTATGAACATTGTGCAACTTTCATGTGCCCGGCCCTGCCTTGGGTCCTTGATGGAGGGATCAGTAAGATTTCCGTCAAGCCAGGCTTGTGCCTCGCATATGAAAGCCATTGCACACGATACATGAACTGTAGATCTCTGCAGCATGACCAGAGAATTTCCGATCTGAGGCATCTGCACTGGACATGGCCGTGCTCTCCCCTGAAAGGCCTCGGGCAAAATGGAGTCGTGACTGGTTCTTGGACAAGGACAAGGCTCTTCAAGCTGATCTTCGAGCTCGACACAGTGGTCATGACAGGCACACTGTTTTGTCAAAGTGGCTGATATCTGCAGGAATTCGTGGTGCTGCAGAGGCTTCCGCGGGAAAGAGCAGGGAGAATGCATCGTGGATCCTTCCAGCATTGCTTTCACTCTTGTGCTTAAAGGCCGTCAATCTTCCACAGTTTGCTCAGGATTCTGCCAGTCCTGGAACTGATCACAGGATCTGACACTGCAAGCTCATCCAGCTGTGACTTCATCATGTCCACCGTGACATAATTTCGCAGAAACGAGACCTCGCTGCCACAAGCACACAACGCACTTGGAGCTGCAACTCTTCCTCTTTTCCATATGCCTGCCAAACCTGGCAGCCTCTGTTTCTGTTCCGTTGCTGTCTTCTCTTCAATCCACTAAACCACCCCGTCACCTGTCAAAGCATTGCACATGCGAATGTTTTCGGAGCCCCCTTTAGCACAAGCTCATACATCCGTTCAATTTCCGACTGCCTCACATTTTTCACGATGCACTGAAAAATTGACGCAAGCCATCCTGCGAATTCCACGACCGTCAGCTTCCTTCTGCGTTGTGCTTGTTGCTAATATCACGGAATAAGTTCAATAAGCATCGCTTTCAAAAGGAGCTCGACATCCTCCTTTTTCACGCCGGCTGAATGTAGATCGCTGGCCCTTATGTCATTGGATTTCCAAAAGGTGGGCAGTGCATAAGTTGAGATACACAGAAAAGTGTATGCATCAGGCTGTATATCCGGCCAGTGGCCCATCCACCCTTCAGATAAGTCATCCGGGCGGGATGGGCGGGCAATCAAAAGGTGCCGCCCTGCAAGCCACTATGGCTTCGGCGGCAATGTCTCATGCTTCAAGATGGAAATGACCCTACCCAACCATCCATCCATTTCCCTTCAATAAGCATCGCTTTCAAGAGGAGCTCGGCACCCTCATTTTTCACCTCGGCTGCCTGTAGATCGCTGGCCTTTATGTCATTGGATTGCCAAAGGTGGGCCGTGTATACGTTCAGATACACAGAAAACTGTATGCATCAGGCCGATATCCAAAGCAGCTAGTCCAATGCAAAAGTCGAGCCGGTGTCTGCAGCAGCGGGAGTTCCATCACATCTTACTGAGCCATGGACCAACCTTGCTCGATAGTCCACTCATCGAGGAGACCGCTGCGGCTGAGTCCATCAGATCGATTATCGTCGCTCGGCACGTATTCTATCCAAAGTCTGATGTTCAGCCGTGCCCAGAAGAGGTGACACGCCGTCACGAGCTGGGACACGTCATTCACGGAGCACGCTCCCTTGGAGACCGAAAAGCAGACTGCTTGGTTGCCGAAGAACAGAACAGAATCACGTCACGATTGGTCAATCCCAGGTTGGCAAAGACAACGCAGCATTGAAGCACTGCCAATGCTTGGAGAGGGAATATCTGTTGGCTGCGGTCCTCGAAGCAGGAAAGCACAGTTTCGGGACCAGTCGTTGCTTCAGCAAGCGTCTGTTTCAGCAGTGGGTCACACAGCACGAATCCAAGCCTGGCAAATGCATTTCCTGAGGCTCGTAAGTGGCGTCTGTGTAAATGACGACCGGCTGCTGAGACGAAAGATCCGAACCTATGCAACGCGGTTGCACC